GTATTTTTTATAGAAACTTACCAGGTAAGCCTGAGTGAGAGCCAATTATACCGTCCTCATCCTGTCCGCTAATTAGTGTCCTGACGTTGCGAACTTTTATCGTCTGCCCAGAGTTACAGACAGCAAGCATAGCAAGTGCGTATTGATAGTAGTTGTTAAAACCATTTCTTGGAAATAAATGCATCTGCTCCTGTAGCATCTCTACCAAGTTATGGCCGTAGAAATTTGTGACGTCATGGCATGTTGCATTTAGTGCGTTTACATAGTAAGCGAATTTACCAAGCGAAAGTTTTCGGTTTTGTATCCTCCCAGACCAGAGATGATTGGCCCTGGAAAAAAAAATTAATATAAAAAAATCACAGAAAAATATCAATTAAAATTCAAAAACAATAATTTTATTTCCAATTCATATGAATACAATAAAAATGATGTCATCATCAGATGCTTGTAACAGAGATGCCATTGACAAAGCAACATTAAACAGATTAAAAATAATACAAAGCAAATAAAAAGAAAAGAAATGACCGAAGAAGGAAGTTGTTGAACTTGAGAGATGGACCTCTTCCGGAATGTCAATCGAAATTAACAACTGCGCAATTAGAACAGGGCCAGAAAACACATGCGATTACGTATGTTTTACGCTGTCGCTCTTTGGAAGCAACAATATGAAAGAGCGGGACTTTGGAGAAAGTTTCATTAACCCAGCGAAGCTATGTGTTACAGGTCCTTTCCTTAAGCTACTTTTTGGCAACATAAAACAATAAATCCTGTTGAACTTACTTGTTATTATGTGCAAGTTGCGCGAGTATCTCGATCTCAATCTGCTTTACTCCGAGTTGGCGGGTGGTTTCTTCAAGTCTGTACCAGTTTTCGTTAGCCATCTGGAGAGCCCAAATAGTCTCTTTGGTGGATGACAATGGCCAACTTCCATCAAGCTGTTGTTGAGCCTCTAGCCATAAGGAACCCCTGTCGATGGAGTCTTGAAGCTTTTCAGCTAAAGCGGTTGGTGTCGCCTCACCTATATAATTCAAGTGGCCATATCTATCAAACGTATCAACAATATTCGTCTGTTCACCTGTTTGTCCATTCGTTCAATAGTTTATTCATATTACTTATTAGGCCCTATGTATAATTCTGATCAAAACATGAAATAAGCAATAGGGAGGAAATCAGTTTTCTATAAACAAACAAAAAAAAAATATCAATTTAGAAATAAAATAAATTATATATTGATTATACATTTTAATAATTAAGAAACAATTAACTAAACAAGCAAGTACGCAAAAGTATTTGGCTGATTTGGAACACGATAATGACCATTGATGTGTTTGATCTTCACGCTATTAAAGTTGCTAGTAATAGGCCCACATTAAAATATCTGTGTATAAGCAAACACAAATCAGACAAAATATGAAATACGGTACGCTAGGCCCAGTGGCGTAACGCCTATGGGCTCTTGAATCTTATTCTTTATAATATATGTATTTTTAACCTACCAATTTTGAATGTTCTCCTGTTAAATTTTAATGTAAATTTTACTGTAATTGTAAATCTCCTGTAATTCAGCCTTTTGGCTGCTAGTTGAAGATCAATGAAGAATAAAGAAAAGAATAAAGAATAAAGAATGGTATTAATAAACGGCACTCTTCTAATAGAGCCTTGACATTATGGTCCAGTAGAAGTCACCCAAGACTCGCACATTAAAACAATGTACTGTAATACCAAGTTTTAACTCACGAATGTCTTAACTGAACTCACATGACAGCACTTCTTATACAATATCAATTCCTGACCCAAAATGATTCACAGCTTCCCACCTCCTTCCATTAAGAACTTCAATACTTTCAGACAGTTTAAGGCAAGCCTTCAACACCTGTATTTTCAATTATGTTTCGGGCATGTTGGGCTGGGTTTGGTAGTTGTTGTACTCATTTCATTTTAACCTTTTTATCCTTTATTACAATAATTGATTCACTTTAGTCTTGACTCATATGAAAGCATTCTGTTGGTTTTGGTCGGTGTGGTCTGTAATATGCATTACAGTGGAGGGTAGTTTGCTCTTTGTAACTTCAAAGAAGCGCTATAGCAGTACCAAGTAACAATAACAGTAACTGAAATTTCTAAATTTCTAGATACTATTAAATAACAAAAGTAACATGCTTGGCCCCAGCACTTTATCCTATATGTTTTCTATCTGCCTACGCCCTTTCTTCCCAGAGAAACCATTGTACCGACAAAAATATCACATCTAGATGTGTATAAGAGACAGCCATCTGGAGAGCCCAAATAGTCTCTTTGGTGGATGACAATGGCCAACTTCCATCAAGCTGTTGTTGAGCCTCTAGCCATAAGGAACCCCTGTCGATGGAGTCTTGAAGCTTTTCAGCTAAAGCGGTTGGTGTCGCCTCACCTATATAATTCAAGTGGCCATATCTATCAAATGCCGTTATAACTTTTTCTGTATAGGTCTAGAGATAAGATAATGACCGATTATAGAATTTCGACACCGGAACAAGTCTAAAGAATACTACTGGTATACTGAGGCCTATCGTATCGGGACTACGGGCATGTAGAGAATAAATGCCAAGAAACGGAGACTATTGATATACCTTCTTGCTGAAACAATAACCCGGAATACCAATGGCATTACTATAAATGCTTCCTATCCATGGGAACTCCGCTTCTGTTGGCGTATTATTTCCGTGAACATTATTATGTAGGCTAGATAAGGTGAATACATACACAACAGTAAAATGCAAGCAAGTATATAACCGACAAATCCTTGATATCGTGACTCGGGTTCCAGAGAATTTCATTAGTATTTCAACACCAACCTCAGCAATATTGTTACATCATTCATCCCTGGATGTCATGTTACATCATGCCATCCCTGGATGTCACTCAACTTGATAGTGAGAGGTTATTACTATTATCGTGAGCCACAGGGTGGAATCAAGTGAGGTGTCAGTAGTCGACTAAAATAGTGACTAATAAAACTATGGGCCTAACTTGTATCTTACCACATATCTGAGAGACATCTGATGCGACAAAAGTTGTCGACGAAATTAAGAGCAAAAGAATAACTTCTGAAGACATTATTGTCGCATTTAACTTTGTGTCGTATTACCGAAACTGCAACGGATTCGACTGATGGATATTTTCCTGTTGACTCCAGGCCGTGAATATTTGAAGTGCTGCGTGCCAAAAAAAAATATATATTATCAATGCCCCGGTGAGGGCAAAGGCCAAATACGTTGCAATGTTTCATCAAATTGACAAGGTCATTCATCGTATCATGCTAATACTTAGCACTGCTAGTCAACACGGCACTTGAGGCCCGTATCTAGGGAGGGGGGGGGGGGGGGGCGGGGGGGGGGGGTTGACGGGTGCGTCCGCACCCGTTCCCCCTAAAAAGACCAAATCGAATTCCACATATTTAAGACAGTTGAGAATGCAATAAATGTAACATTCATAATTTTCTGTAATATATGATTAAAGGGGAATCTTAAATATTAAAACAGCAATCAATCGTTAATCCAGTATTTGGGCATTGAAGTTACCATAGCAATAAAAAATCGAAGCTGCGATCCAACCGACCCTATTCATTGACTCGCCTGGATGGTGTTGGTCCATTTTTGCAACATCACTCAACCTCAATGTTTTAACTCAAATTTACATTATTTACTAAGACTTTGCGTTACGATTTTTAAATAGGCCCACTGTCCATCTTCCTTTAATCAAGACGTAAGTGGCGGACGTTCAGAAATAATATTCGGATCTGCGATTTATTTTCAATTGTCTGAGTGTTTTGCTTTTAATGTTCAGGCTCAGGGCCAAGGATATGTCAATAGCGAACTTAATCACTATAATTTAAGTGGCAATCCTCACAAGAGAAACACACACAAGCTGCTCTACATAAACCTATTCTCATTGTGAGGCTTAAGAGGTGGAGTTCTTTTGATCGTGAGAAAAAAAAATATGTTGTGACAGGAATTGAACCTATGACCCAAGGAATGGAAGGAAGGCAAGCATCTTAACCACCAAGTTATTCAACTCCACTCCCAAGAGTTGAAAGACTGGTTGGTTTGAATCAGTTTTCTTTTATTTTTGTGTCCCCCCACAGGTTGCCTGTTTTTCAGGGAAACTTCCACAGCAGCATTAAGTGACTATGAATCTTGACCTTTATACAAATATCTAAGCTTATGACTGATGGCTGAAAAGATTGATTATTTAGTGTAGAAGGCCAATTATTATGAGGAAAATAAATCATATTGTTATGAATGGTTTGTGTACATCTACAGAGCCCATTCTATATTCACATCGGTCTGTTCATATTTGGTTTTTCCTAAAAGTAAGTCTGTTATATATTGATTGTTTTCGTATGATGCTTAAACAGTCCAGGTCGGCTATACGAGTGCTAGCCAATTATGCGTGGGAATGGTTTGAATAGTTTCTATGAATTTCTGAGAAAATCAGTTTTTAGTTTGAATAGGGTTCAGATAAGTAAAAATCGGCTAATTCAATGATGTATTAGCTAGCATATGCTAAACGAATCGAAATTGCTCAAAGCCTGGAGAGAAAGTTTACAGAATGATTTGTCAAAGTATTTGATACCGAATTTTTGTTTGTTATTTTTACACATTTTCATGGAGGACTACAGTTTGAAATAAAAGTTGAAATGAATGAGTGTGAAAAATGAATCCTTGCAAGGTAGCACATGTTGGGATTGGTGATCGAGATCGGATGAAGTTGAATAGCTTGGTGGTTAAGATGCGTGCCTTCCAATCACAGTCTCCGATGAAGTTCATTATCAGACCTTAGATATATCATGGAGGAAATATATAATATATTTCCTCCATGGATATATATAGTTTTTGGTCTAATTTTAAACATTATTCTTGCTTTTCTCTTTCTCTCTCAGCCTTCTCAACACTTCATTCTACATTAATGTATTCTGTATTATCAATAGTACACACTTTTTAACAAATATGCTTCAATGTATACATAGGCCTATATCGAATTTTAATTATTTTTATAACAAATTAAACATATAAACACTTAAATATTATATATTGATCACACCTATATGACATTTTTAACTTTCCATATTTATATATCGTAATGTAACAAAAAATTATAAATTATTTAGAAAAAAAATACGATTGGCTGAATAAAGACAGGTCTCCCTCTAATTAAAGACCCCTCCAATTAAAAACCACCCCAATAAAGACCACTTTGCTGTGGTCCCAAATTAACAAATGCCTATTATTTTTATCACTGTAATTAGAGACCAAAGCTGCTAAGACCATGGAAACCCCGGCACTAAAAGTGGTCTTTAATAGGAGGGAGATCTGTATTATTAGGCCACTGATTAAAAAAAAATGTTTCTCGTCCTGCCTTTCGTAGGCTTAAATGTGAATATTTTAATGTAGGATTTTCTGAATGATTGCCTGTGAAATTTAAAAGGAAACCCCAAAAGTGACCCAAGAATGGATGACGAAGAGAACGAGGAACATGTTTTTATCCGAACCACATATTAATTTGCAATGTCGTATGCTGGTGCAAAACTTTGGAATAACTTACCTTATCATTAAAATCTATCAAACAAAAATATCAGTTCACAAAATCAATGAGAGAATATTATTTATCACAAAAATAAAATATTGCAATTTTGTAAAATGTACGTATTTCTTTCATATAAAAATGTAAACATATTAGCGTAAGCCTTTATTTTTATAAAACACCATTATTTATTTATATAATTGAAACCAGACTTGATTAGCTTTTATGCCCTTTTTTTTTTGGTTTCCTAATTTGCCATCATGTTTTTACATACTTATAAAAAATTGTATTCTAATGAAAAAAGGCAAATGAAGAAAGAAAGACATTAATTTGATTGTGGTCTTCAGTAATGATAGGCCTAATTTATTTAATCTATTGATCAGTTAATTAATTATAGAATTGAATAAAGTGCCTAGTCTTTCCACATATCCATTATTGTAATCATGTTTGATATCCTTATAGAGGAGGTCATAAAGTACTTTGATATGTACAGCGCTTTGATCCTTTTGAAAAAGCGCTTTATAAGTGCAAAATAATAATAATAATAATAATAATAATAATAATAATAATAATAATAATAATAATAATAATAATAATAATAATAAAAGCACAGTCAGCTAATCTGGTGGTAGCCGCTGTGTGTGCGCTGAACCGTGGAGATCTTTAGGATCCCCGGTTCAATTCCCATCGCTGCCTCTCCTTGTGTTTCAGCTAGAGGGCTGAAATCCAAGTTACTAGCGCACCGTCTTTCGGATGAGACGTTTAAGCCGTTGGTCCCGTGTGCATTATAGCCCATGTGCACGTTAAAGAACGCAGTGCACTCTTCGGAAAAGAGTAGGGGATTGTCTCCCGGTATACTGCCCAATCACCACCAGAAGGACCCCACTGGAAATAAGTCTTCTTCTAGACTTTCGTGGGCTATCCTTGGTGTTTACACCGAATAAATCCAATCCAATCCAATCCAAATTGAAAATATTCAACTCAAGGCCACTCGATGCGTTTTTCTGCAAAAACCGCGAACAAGCTTCTGTGGGAAGACTAGATACGTTCAAGGTAATGTCTCTTGACAAATTAAGTAGTTATTTTATTATATGAAATATTTGTCGTTTACGTTATCCCCCCTACTCGTGTTCAAATGATAGTATACTAATTATCAATAATCGCCATCCATATCTTTTAACATTAAAACATTTAAAATCTAAAACTGACTCTTCTAAATATTCTTGTGAGATTGTGGAATTTGGTCCATCCTGATATTAGAAATTATTTATCTATTAATTTTGATTTGTTCAAATCTAAGTTAAAAAATATTTTAATGATATTTAAATCGATTTCCATTGTTGTTTTTTTCTTTTTGTTATTATTCATTTCTGTTTTTCCTTGGAGCAGCACATTTCTTGATGACAGTGGTATCGCTTTTGATGATTCCTGGCTGACCTTACACTTGTTTGTAAATTGTTTACTTTATGTGTTTGTAATGTTTTATATTAAATTGTATTGCAAAAATTAATAAAATGAAAAATAAGAGTGGAAGCGACAAGGAACGAGATATTGGATACAGTAACGGCAGCCGTTCCGGTGTTCTCTGCGGTGTTCTCTCTGTATTCCGCTGTGTTGCAGGCCAGAAAATCGACACCAAATAAGCGAGGAAAGCCCGCCTTGTCAGCCTCTTGTCGCAAATTATTGTATCGATAGTATTCCTTTCCTTTCAAAAAGTATGTATGACCTGATGACAAAAAGAGAGGCTATAACATTATTATAAAAAGGCCTAATCATATTTTACAGTCACAGCATTACTTTGTCTACCGTGCTTATTTAGCACATAGGGCCCTAATCAGCGTTTTTCTCTGGCTAGTACACTATTCTCATAAGATATTTAGTTCAAAGTTCAAAGTTCAATTTATTTTCCATACAACATTAGCAAAATTGATACATAAACACTATATATAAAATTAGTTTATATAATTGTATAGGCCTACAGACAAAATTTAAAGAGCATTAAAGTCGGAAATTGTTCCTTACCGTCTTTATATCTGAAGGCCGCTGATAAGTCACTAGGAATTCCCTTAAAAACCTCAGAGATAGGGCGTGGGTACCCAGGGTCTATTTGTCGCTTCTTTTCGTCGTAGCGCCACACCAAATCATCTTTAAAGAAGTACGTTTTATAGTATTCCCCGAACGTCAAGACGGTGTCGATGTTGTTGGGGAGTGACTCATTAGAAGAAGGGACAGTGAATTCTGATATCGGTAAGGGTCCTTGCATCAGGTGGTTTCCATTGAACAGATAGTAATTTTCACCTGAATGTAAAGGGACAATAATCGTTAAAATCAAAAAAGCATACGGTAGGTCTACTGAATGAAAGTATTACAAACAAATTATTTTGTCTGATAAATTTATCTTAAAATTGTTTGTAGTTACGTTTGTTTACACTCCTGTACTTGACCATAACTAGCAAATAATTATAATAATAATAATAATAATAACAAAAATATGATAATAATAATAATAATAATAATAATAATTATGATAATAATAATAATAATAATAATAATTATTATTATTATTATTATTATTATTATTATTATTATTATTATATTTTTTAAAGAACACTACAGTTTTAAACTTCATTATAGGCTAGTGCCTACATCAGTGAAAAATGTTCACCTCTGCAATGTATATATAGTATATAATAATAATAATAATAATAATAATAATAATAATAATAATAATGATAATAATAATAATAATGATAATGATAATAATAATAATAATAATAATAATAATAATAATAATAATAATAATAATAATAATAATAATAATAATAATAATTTGCCTTTAAAGAAAATTATTGTGCTGTCGAGCCATCTCTCATAACCAGCATCTGCGTCATCTGGTAACCCGAACCATAAGTGTTTATTTAGATCACCGTCAATATCGGTGAGAAGCACACCTGGTCGTTGAATTCTCCAGTATCTATCTTTCTATAAAATAAATTGAAAATTACGGTTATTGGTACATTATTATTATTGGTGTATTTATAATATACGGCCACCTATAAGTTTGGAAAACAATTGCTAAATTTGTATATTTCAATAATCAGATATTATATTACAACTAAAATTAAGATACAATGATGATGATAGTAATAATAATAAAAATAATAATAATAAAAGTAAATTGAGGTAGGAATAATAATAATGATAATAATAATAATAATAATAATAATGTTTCAACTAAAAATTATGATAATGAATTGAGAAAACATATTTTCCACATAATAAGAGCAAGTATTTTCCCTTAAAATTATTAACGTTTAAATAATAATAATTCTATGATTTTACATACTGTATCCTATACGCAAGTGAATTCAAGGATTTATGCAATAAAATGTCATTTAATATGTGTAATGCACAGAGCACAATTCTATAGACTTGTCCGTGGCAATTGTGCAATACGCAAATTATTGCATACTGTAGTTTATTTCATTTACGTTTACCTGGTATGCAAATATTTCTTCTCTAAGGTAACTGACTGCAGTAAATGCTTTATTACATCCTTCGACACCCGATGTGTAATTCTGTTTCGGGCCATCTGGGATCGTTCGAGAACCTGTGAAAAAAATTACTGTTAGGCCTACATATTTCATTATTTTTGCATTATTAAATTTCCTTGACAAATATTTAAACACAGATTAATACGTAAACATTTCAATATTTAAATCACCTGTTCTTCTACGACATGACAACATTCTTTCTAACCGGAAAAAACATTTTTAAAAGCAAACAAATTTAGGGACTCTCGTATTTTGCGCAATATAAATGAATAACCTTTAACCTTTTAATTTATCTAAAGTTTACCAACATCTCTTGTGTCTGTGGTGGTCATTCATCCTGAATAATGTTTTGAAATAAATAATTAAGAAACAAATTTACAATAAGCAACTATAAATACAATCATTAACATCAGAGTCCTATGTTGAACGGTCGCCATATAATATCACAAGTAAATTTCACTATATGTAATCTTACAAGCCTATTAATAAATTATTAAATTTGGGTTCCAAATATATACAAATATATGATATTCAGATGGAGGGGAAAACAGTTTAAATGAATTGCAATTACAAAAATGTTAACAACATATAAACCTATTATTACAATTATATTATAACTACAGTTTTAATATTTACAACCAGGACCATTTATTCTCGCTTGATCAAAAATTGTATAATATTTGAAGCCATTTATAGACCCACGATCTTTTATGATGAATATTGACTAAAGTACGAGTCAGCCAATGATTTTTACTATACCATATACGGCTTGGATTCCTCTTATGTCATCACTGTGCAAGCGCAATGAGGGTTGATAGCCCGTGTAAGCAGAATACATAAGTGCACCATAGACGTCCGAATGCAACAGTCCGAGTGCGTGTCCAATCTCATGGGCGGCAACTTGAAGAAGATTGAAGGCTAAAAAGATTTAATGTCTTACCAGTTATTTTTATCTATCTTTCTTGCATTCTCTTTAGCAGGGCCGTATCTAATATTGCCATTATCTAATATTGCCATTGGGAGGGGAGGGGCGAAGATTGAGAAAGTGGGGTCAGGCGTGGGGGATGGAGTGCAGAGCTGGTTCAATTATAGAGTTTTTTTCATTACTAAGGCAACTTTAATCCGGGATGACATAAATAAGCTAAGTTGGATATGACTAATTATGGAGGACAGTGACTTTATGAGTGATTAGTATCTTAACAGTAGTAGGCCAATCTTGTTAGACGTCGATTAAGCTGAATAGAGAATGCCTCTGTAAGTTCAAGATTAAATAGCTGATTATGAGTGTTAACGAGAAATAGCTATTTCTGGGTCATTTTAATTTTACAGCTCTTCATTGTAAAAAAAAAAACAATGTAAACACAAATATATCTAAACAAGCAATATACACTATAAGTCTCATATTATTGGGACTAACTTTGATACGTGTTCTGAGTGAATCTTTCCGAATCGTCAAAATGAATATCTCCAGCAAGATCACCATAAGTTCCGGGATAGTAGACGTGAGCAATGGCGTTACTAGGCCCGTCAAAAGGGCGAGAATCGCCGTGAGAATACGAAACAAAGCTCAGGTAAATCTCTGCATAACCAGTGGTGGTTTCTTGGAATGTTAGAGGAATATAGTCACTCCAGAGTTTGAAAGCCCTACCAATGATCGCATTTACTTCGGCATCCGATATTCCCTCACGTGTCGCTGTGTTTTTCGGGTAGCTAAGGATTCTGAAAGGAGGTGATGTACCATTAATGGAATATTCCGAATTCAATCATTGTTAAAAGCTTAAGGGCACATAAAAAAATTGTCAAAAATTTTGGAAGTATTGATACGGGAATTTAAAAAAAATTATTTCAACAGCTTAAAAAACAATGCAATTTTGTGACTGGAAATACATTTTCTTTAAAAAACAATAACATTAAATCAGTTTTTATACAATATTTACAATATTCTTGCCAAAAAACCAGTCCCTAGCTCATCAATTAAAAAAAAAGCAATATTATATTTTCCGATAAAAAAAAAAAACAAAAAACAAAACAAAACAAAACAAAAACAAAAACAAAAACGCCCGCCCCATCACTTTAAAAAAAAAAATGATAATCTAATATTTTTTTTTTTCTATGTGCCCTAAACGATAATAAATTGATAGGGCGTATAAATTTGCAAATTTGAAACATTGCACAGGCCTGACAGGCCTGCCTATAAACAGCAACGCTGTTCATTGACGCAAAAGGCCCCTAGTATGAAAACGGTGTTGTTTTTCATAAGCTGATAATCAGGGTCCTTAATTTTCCTAAAAAATAAAATAATGCGATGCTTTATAAAGGGTAGAAACAATCTTTGAGTCCCTGGTTTAAACTAATGGGAAATCACTATGCTGGTACGTACAGTATCTCACAATTCGTGAGAAAAATCCTCATTTTACTGAGAAAAAATGTTGTTAGTTTATAGTGTTCTGCTATCATATAGGCCTACATCACAATGCTGGAATTAAACTGACCTATAGCCTAGCCTATATGTACTGTAAAGTAACAACAAACATTGAAAATGTGTACCTGTATCTAATCGTGCTGGATTCCCATCTACCTCCTGTAAGTGCATACCTCTTGGCGAGCCTGCTACCAAGAGAGGTTTCGTCTTTATTTAGGACCGTATAATCTGGAACGCCGCATCTGGGCATCCTCATGGCCTCTAAAGTTTTGGAATCCATCTTACCAGTAACAGTTATATTATAAAATCTTTGGAAACTTTTGACTGCTCTCTTTACTGCTTTACTCGATTTGATTTCTGATGGCCTCATCATGTTATTAAAATTTAAATATCCAAAGGATGTTAGAAAGGTCTGAAAAATAGTACAGATTGAAAATATTAAGATTCAAAAATAAAGAATCGTCTTAATCGGGTAACTTGCACATAGGTTTATAGGTATAGGCTAATATATAGGCATGTAAAGGAAAACGCAATTAGTCATATATGTACCTATTTTTCTATAGGCCTAGGTCTACAAAAGTTTCCTTCCGATGATCCACAGAAGAGTTTTCACTGGGTTTACAAATCCCAATTATGGCAAACTAAATTAAATTCAGTTATGTAATTTGTATTTTCATTGAATAAATGAATGTTAATTATTCTTAAATTGTTCTATTTTAATTTGAAATTATCTTTGGGAATAAAAAGTATATATATATTATTGAAATTATAATAATTGAATTAATATAATTAGAATGAATCGCTATTAAATATTATTTTTTAGTTAGGTAGAATAATTTATCTGTTATATTTTTGTTATTGGTTATTGAATGGTTTGTAAATTTCTAATTAATTATATTGTTTTAGTTGAGTTAACAATCGAATGAAATGTAAATAATAAATTGAATTTAATTGATGCTAATGCATTGCTTAATTGTTGCATTTTTGTGGTTGAATTTTTAATTGATTGAATGTTATTGATATTAAATAGAATTTTCAATGAATTGTTTTTAAAATAATATTTTTGTAGTTGTTTAAATTGATAGTTGAATGAATTGTAAATAATTAATTGAATATTCTAAAAACTTAAGTATTTTTTTCAATATTATTGAACCTTTTTTTTAAATACTTCCATTCTCTTATTTTAGTATCTTACATGGTATTATGTTGTTTTGATCTTCGTTTTGCCTTGTTTGCCTAGGAGATCCCTCGATAGTATTCTACACATTCGGTAATCTTTGGCTTTTTGTTGTATTTTTCTTTATTCGGATATGTTGTAATAAATAAAATAAAAACTGTATCTTAAAAGTGCTACATACTGTATTTGTTTATTAACTTGTAAAATATATTTTTAATCGAGAAATAACACGCTTACCATTCCCTCCGTAGCTTCTTCAACAGTTGTTGCAGATGTAACAACAAAAATAGCACATACGATGCCCAGGAAAACCAAATCTTTGAAAATCGTCATAGTATTAACAGTGATGTTTGTAAGCAGCAGTGTTATAGAATTAGTAGTTTTCCCCTTCTCTCCGTTCAAAAAACTGTTTGATGGGGTTAAAATGTTGGCCTGCTATATACCATATTACGAGAGTGACTCAACTTATACCACGGCCTATACAGGAAGAATAGTCTCCTCCTCTCTATATTACGTATCCAAACTACCCAATATTATTCCTATTGCAACCGCTTAAATGAGGTGTGTATTCCTAATGCAAAATAATAATAATACTGTAACATAAAGGATTTGTATGTGATATGCGAGATGATCCTGCACAAGTCCTAAGAGCACGTTTTTGCAATTTAAAAATACTATGAATATTTGTTACTTCAGGACTTGTCCAGGGACATAGGTAAAGAAATTTGTCAATAGTAGTAGCCCAGGATATATTACAATAATTGATATATGGTAAAACTTAAGTATTATGTAAAGATAGGAGAATGATTTGTGGAAAAAATATTTTATTTTGCTCATAACACCAATGTTTCTGGAAATAATAGTGGAAATGTTATTACGGTGGGGTTGCCAGGATAGCTTATGATCTACAGTTACCTCTAGAAATTTTGTTTCATTTACTTGTTTAATTATATTATCATCAATTTTAATAGTGAAAGAGTCCATCACTTTTACTTTATAATTGAAGAAAATGAAATTTGTCTTAGAAATTTTAAGAGACAATCTATTTAATTTAAACCAATTAGAAATATTTATTTTCTATGCAACTATTTGTTTCTAGTCGTATTGTGTAATGGAGTGTATCTGGTAATACTTGAATCTGTTTAAACATGAAGCCTCCGTGGTCAAATGGTTATGACGCTCGCCTTGACAGTGGGAGGTCGCAGGTTCGAGTCCCTCCAGAGACATTTTATTACACAATTTCTTTATTCTTCTATTTACACGAAGTATTATTATGTCATTTATTCTAACACTGTATTTACCTTTCTTTGATGATTATATAATTTATATATAATTTATA